AAATGTTACACAGCCAATCAAATTCATGGAATGACACAGAGATCATTCTAGAATGCGATTTCCTAATTAGGCAAAATTCTTGACTGTATTGGCAAAAATACTATTTTTATTTATTAAAAAAGCTGCTCGATACATATGTATCGAGGTAGCTTTTGTCTTGAATCAGTTAATGTGACCAGCCCATATATTCAATTGATCATTAGGCCAAACGAAAGTATAAAGTTATTAGTAATGCGATCATTGATTAATGTATAAGACAAAGTTCATTAGTATGTGAGTATGAGGTAATAGGGTAAGTATGAGGTAAAAATGGATCAGTATATTAGTAAGTAAGAGAAAATTGATTGTAGTTAAGTTTGTCTTTTCTGCAAAACTGACTTTTGTTCTAGTTATATCGATCCCTCCCACTCTACCTGTGTTAGAGAAATGCGTAGGTAGTGTGACCTGCTGAGATGGCAGTCATGAATAAGATAGAAGGATCTAAAATACTTGTATAGTGGAAACTGCTAAATGTGGCCTGTTAAGACGACAGTCATATAAAATTTAAAGGCCTGTCAAGATGACAGTTATATAAATTTTAAGGCCTGTAAGAATGACAGTCTTAATAGAATAGAGTAAAATAAAATAAATAGAAAAAGGGTGCATTTTGCACGATTCTATATACAACTATGCAGGTTGCTTAATAGCAGAAAGACAAAACCCATATATGTTCTTCATAGTAATTAGTTTAATGAAATAAAAGACAAACTAATTTTTTTTCAAACGCTTAAATGAAATATTTTAAATTCTTATTGATTGTCATGATATGACTTTAAAGCAAATTTTTTGTTTATGCAATAGTTCTATTTGGGATGAAAGAGTTAAATTCTTTTGGCCAGTACAGCAATACTATTTGTGGTTGGCACAATAGTATTATTTAAGACAAAAAGATTTGGTTGATGTAATAATATATTAGCACGAAAAGTTTTGGTTAACATAATTGTATATATTATTGAGGGCAAAGGTTTTAAAATTCTCCTGACTTGGGCCCCCTCTTTCCTCTTCTATAACTAATAATAGCTAGTCTTAAATTAGTTTACAAATAGAAAATTAAGAAGTGATTTGCTACATTCAGGTGGTTATACAAGATACAATAGATAGTTTAAATTAATATCATCTTGATATAAATCTGTAACTAATCTTATCATGTATACAGCAAATTCAAAATAAAAAAAAAAAAAAAAAAAAAAAAAAAAAAAAAAAAAAAATTCTCCTAACTTTACAATAGTATTTTTTTATTATACTATTATTTAAGGTAAAAGTTAAAAGTTTTTAGCTAGCATATTATTTAGAATGAAAATTTTAAAATTACTAGTACTATTTAGAAAGGCTTTAAAATTCTCTTGCTATTTAATTGAAAGGTTTAGGATCTTGGTTGGTATAATAGTCTGATTAAAGTGTAAGTTCTTAAAATTTTTAGCTAGCACAAAGTAATAGATCAAAAAAAATTTTTTGTAATTAAAGAATAATGGCAGAAGAGCATAAAAATAAATAACTGATAAAAAATTTTATTTAAATACTTATTATTATATCATAAAATCTCTTGATTATTTATCGGTATTAAAGAGGTTGTATGGATTGTATATACAGTTGGACCCTCCTAAGTGCATATCATCAGGACCAACGCCAGAGTATGCATTTAGGGAGGGTTGCATTTAGAGAATGGCCAATAGCATTACAGCATATTCATATCATGTGACACAGTTATTTAGCCAATAATAAGTTAAACCTTTTGCTAATCTATCGTCGAGCCTGGTCTATTATATGTAGGAACTCGACTCAAGGATAGTCCTAGTCGAAGTTCATATTTACGAAGTCTGAACTGAAAGGTACAGACTTTTAACAGCCCTAATCGTCACAAACTTTACTTGCTTGTTGTCAAAGATCAAAGATCTTAAGAAATTTTTGGCCACAAATCATTTAAAAAAAAACTTCTTTTGCGAAATTACGCTTTTGCTAACTTGCATATAATGTAACTAATACTGTCTCTATATTATAATACGTTACTATACTAAGCAGAAAATAGTATGATCTACACTTTAATCATACCATTATATCAGAATATTTAAGAAATGAAGCTAAGATCCAACTTTATTTCAAGTATGCATTTCTTTCAAAAGATTTCATTATTAACTCTATCAATTTAAGCTAATATAATTTAACTTTAAAAATATATTTCTTGGAAAAAAAAAAACTAGACGAGATTTAAAATTAGATTCAAGTTAGAAAACTCGAACATAAATTTGACAGAGATATAAATTTTTTTTTTTTTTTTTACTAAATTATTTATTGTTTTCAATATTCTAAGAAGCTTTGTGAAGACAGAGATGTTAAACAAAGTTTCAATTTTGATGGTCTTATATACAAAAATATCTTATGTAAGTATATACATTAAATAGTCGGCACAAAAAAATCTTCTATATTTAATTGTTTGAATGAAGCATTCCGAAATTTCCTTACTAATCCAGACAATTTCAACAAAGCAGAGTTGTGTTCTACCTGAGCCTCATCACTAAGGTCCTGTTGTATAAGGTATAACTCTATCAAATGTATAGCATCTAATGCTTCTTTGTGAATAACTTGGGGAATTTCGATGCTATCATCTTCCTTATCGCATTTGGCTGTTTCAGATTCGGGTTCTGGGCATGTGACTTGGTCTAAAAGTTCCTGATCGCTAAGTATTCTGGTTATGTTATTTTCTTCTGAATAATTAATATATTCCTCGAGGTTCATTACATTTTGGAAATTAAGCATCTCTATGTTATTATACAATTCCTCTATTAAATCATTATCACTATTGTCATTTTCATCGTTATCATCATTATCATCATTATCATCATTATTATCGTTAAGGGTAGGTTCTTCATTATCTTGAACTGGAAGAATTTTTGTGTATTGAAAGCAATTTTTTATTGTTTTTGAGGATATCTCCCTCCAGGCTCTAATGATAAATTGTATAACAGTAAGAACATTAATTTTATCATCACTTCCAGCTTCATACTGATCGAGCAGCCATTTTATAAAGTAATTTCGGTATCAACACTTGAAAGATATAATTATGCCAACATCAATAGGTTGTATATGAGCTGTTGTATTTGGAGGAAGGATGTGAATTGTTGTGTTATGAAGCTTTACATTTTCAGAAGAGTGACATGTTGCACTATCAATTAGGAGAAGTACTTTGCAACCAGCCATTTTCAAATCAAATTTTTTAAGCCATTTTTGATATAACACACTTGTTATCCATGCATTTTGACTAGAATCATATATAACACCAAGACTACGATGTTTAATATTTTTAAAACAACATGGGTTAGGTGCTTTACCAATAATAAATGGTTTTATTTTATCTGTCCCATCAGCATTGGCACAAAATGCCAAGGTTAACCGTTCTTTACTTTTTTTTTTCCTTTGAGACAAATAGTTGCTAGTGTGGTGTCTAGTTCTAGACTTGAAAAAGAAAAAAAAGAACCGAATAAGAAAAAAAAAAAAATGAACTGAATAAAAGAAAAAAAATGAACTACGAATAAGAAAAAAAAGGAAGAAAAGAACCAAAAAAGAAAAAAAATTAAGGTAATATTAATTAGCATAGTATGATTTATTTAATACCAATAAAATAAGCCAGTCTCATCCATATTATCTCTTAATTGATGATTCTCCAGTAAACAGAAGAATGATCATAGTATAACATGATGCAGTTTTATATATAAATTACTATAGACAGAAATCTGGAAAATTTCTTAAGAAAAATAGTGATTCTTCAAAGAAAACTTT